AAGTTGAATAACATCTAGATACAAAAGCAGTAATGCCTTTGTTTTACTTTTGCTGCTGCTGTATTCTGAATAACCCCGGTCTTGAAGAAAGCCCATTTAAATGAAAATTGTCTCTCCTTTTATGTAGCTTTAGGGGAAAAAAAAAAAGTATCCAGCAGCCTGGGAAATGAGTTTTTTTATTTTGTAACATGAGTAAGCATTCCCTTAACACTTAGTCATGTGTATTTGTTTTTGCTGTGTTTTAATATCTGAAGTACTGTCTCAGAAGTATAAGTCTTACATGTTAGTCATGTCTCAGAGTCTTATATTACTGTCAAAGGTTTTTTTAATTTTAATCATAGTATTATCTGAAATACTGATTTGTAAAGATCAGTGGACATATATTTCAGGTTCCTTGAGATCTTATACTAAATTCTTTCCAAAACTAGCAGAGAACTTGAACTTTTTGAGCTGATGGTAGAATCAGCAATGACTTCTATGCAAAGCTGAAAATGGTATGAACGGCATATGCTGTTTTGTTTTGGGTTTTTTGTTTAATTTCCATAAAAAAAAAAAAAAAAAAATAAATTGAGCAACTAATGCACATAGAAATGCTGTTATTGTGTTTAGTCGCAATGACTTCCACTCCCCAACCCACCCAGGGTCCTACATGTAAATGTTCTTCTTCAAGAGATTTTTCTCTGGTCTTCTAGATGCATAGTGAATTGATGGCTTATTGCAAACTGAATTTTCAGTCTAGTTCTAATTAAGTGACATATGTTGGGTTGTATGATGTCATTTGAGGCATAAATATTTGTTTACAGCTGTTCTTATTTTTGCTTAATCTTATATTGCTTAGCTGCTTGCCCACAATTATTTTGCAAAACTGTATAACTGTTCAGTTTTTCCAAAGGTGAACCACAAAAAAAGATTAATGGCATCACTGACTATAACGTATTCCTTGAGTAGTAATAAGTACATGCGGTACTTTCCAGCCACGTGTGTTCATTGTTTCAGCTGATGTGATTTGTATAGTGAAATATGAGTCTGGCTCATGTAATTGAATGCTACGTCTTGGGCTGCAGGACAGTAAATGAGATTAAGCTGTATTACGTTTCTGAAGGCAGAACATACAGTTGTTAACATGGGTGGGTTTTAACATTTAGCTTTAAAAAAGAAGTTACTTCAAAAGTAAACATTTTCTGACTAAACAGGTAGTAGGCTAATGGTACATTGGCGATGTTTGTTATCATAACATCTAATTAGATTATGATTCATATAATTGAGAGTTTATCATCTTGGCATTGGTGTCTGTTTTCCAAAGAAGTGTTTCAAATGCGCTTTCATAGTCTGTTTTAAAATTAGAGTTAAATAAAACTCTTCCCGTGGAAGTAAACCCAGTAGTCTTATTTTGCACTTATGTAGGATTTTATATTCTGTTTCTATTTTTTGGTTTGATAGTGTATTTAAACATAAAGTAATTGTCTTTGGGGAAGATCTGTAGTAGGTGGGGTAGATACCATTTCTGTATTATACAAAATAGTAAGTAGAATTTATGGGGTTATTAAAGCTCAGTTTGGCAAACTGCCGTATAGTTGCATCATCCTGTAATCATTATCTTTTTCTGGCTCCTGACCTTACTCTAAGAAATACCATGCTTTTAGTTATCCTTTCACTCTTAACTTGTAATTTGATTTCTTATTCGATTATTAACAGGAAAAAAAGCTTTAAATTTCATATTAAAAATGAATATTCTGCAGTCTTATTGCAGCCCCAGCATATGAGTCTTCAAATAATCAATATAGATGCTCCAGTGTTTGCTAGCTGTTCAATGTTTGTTTTTTATAACAAAGGGCTTCTACTGGATTAATACCAGTAGTATTGCACACTTAGAACATTTTTGCTTCTCCTGTTCTTAATACATCTTCTTCTAAACACTCATTTTAAGAAATGTTCAGCCTTTTGTCAGAACAAATGCTTTGACTCTGCCCTGCTGCTGAATGATATTGCACAGAGAAGGCAATGGCAAGGAGTTTGTTGTTTTTGACAGCACCACTAAAAGCATGAAATGTTTCTGAAGGATTGGCAGGGCCTTGTAATAAGGGCTGCAGGAAATGACTGTATTGGGTGTGGAAGAAAGACACTGTCCAGATTTAACACACGAGCTACCGAAATACTTGAAAACAGAGGACAGGAAATGGTATCATAGGATAGACTAAAACGCTATACAGAACTCCATTGTTTATACAAAGTGTTATTGTTCTGAAGTTTAAATTCAACTCGGAACCGCAGCTTTGGCATGTAAAAGGTAACGCTGACAACCTAGTGAGTAATAAAATGCTATTTTATTATTAGATTAAAGCCTAGATTTTACTTTTTTGTAACAGTGACTTCTTTAAATGTTCTGACATTTTTGCTGAAAATAGAAGCTACTGTAACACTTTTTTTTGATAGAATTTTGTGAAAAATATGCTAGTTTGTAATAATTTTTCCTACCTCACATCAGTTTCCAGATCCACTTGATTTTTACTCTGTCCATTGTGGAAGATATCTCTTGCAATCTGATGCTGTCTAGGCTGTCTATTCCTAACGTTTACACTTATTTATAATTGATAGGTATTAATGCATACCTGTATTTAACAAAATCATTGATTCCATGAAAACTGTCTCACAGTTTTCAGGTAGCACAGAACTTAATTTCTCTTTTCTGGCTGGTTGGTTTTTCTGTCTGACCTAGCTGTGGCTAGTTTTCTCCTAGCAGTCAAGAATATATTTAGCTCCAGTATGTATTCTCAGCTCCAGCCCAACTTGTCAGCCACTTTTAACTAAATTTTATCACTAACCTAGAAGCATCCCAATAAATTCTGCTGTTGTCTGCTGAGGAATGTAGATGCTTTAATCATGAAATGAGTTTTTGCTGTGGTTTATAATACAGAAGGAAGAATGCTGACATAAAAAGCTGTTCTTCTTTCTGCTGCCTGTATTCCTTCTTTCTCCCATAGCTTCTGAGTTAAATGGTAGAATTCTTAAAAAATGTATTCCCATACCTCCTATACAAATTATTCAGGAAAGTACTAAATTAGAATAACTCCTCCTTGCTCTGTTAACCTTGAAAAACTCAAGGGACATATCACATCATCCATGTGTGGTCAGGCTTTTGGCACAGTAGGAAATCCACAAAGTAAATCCAGAATTTAAAACCCTGGTTTTAAAGTTGTGATTTTACTTCTCATCCATATGTGAACAAGAATACTGTGGTTGCAAATTCCAGGAAGTTCTACCTACTTACACTTTTTTTCTTTAAAAATATTTAGCAATAACTTTGTTTCCAAATGACCTTTATAAGACTCAATAGAATATCTTTAGATCAGCACAAGAGCTTTGTTAAAATTCTTATGTTAATCTTTGCTTCTTCTGTTTGTAAATTGATAAAGCAATATGTAAGGTTTCATTTATGGTGGACTGTTTTCCAAAGAAGTGTTTCAAAAGTGCTTTCATAGCACATGTTCCCCCATCATGTAACAATGTAGTAGTAATGGCGGGGGCTCTCTCATTAGCATCCTGGTGAATCACACCTAGATTCCCAACATACATGAGCTGAGTATCTTAGCAGTGTCAGTGACCTTCCTGAAGTGTTGTGCTGTTACTGATACATGTTATTGTTCTTCATTCTTGCTAAGCTTTTTAAAGGTATTAAAATTTTTGTTAAAGAAGGTAGAATGTGACACTGACAACTTTCTTATTTTAATTGCTTTTAGATTAATATGTACTTAATGTAATAAAATTGGATTGGGCATAGGAGCCTATTCAAATTAGAATAATAATACAAAATTCATGCCAGTATGGCGCTACAGGCTATTAGAAGAGAATTTCCCACACAGTGATCTTTGTGTAATAGACTTTTCCCTGAATTGTGACTGTAAAGGCTGCTTTCAGAACTGCAATGTTAGTATAAACATAATCTTACTATGAATTGTATTTATTTATACGCACACATACACAAGTTCTGTAGTGTGAACTATAGGGTTCCCTGTTGCAAAATTTCCCTTGCGTAACAACTCTTTTTTTCATTTGCAGCTGAATAAGGTGTGTGTATTTTGGGAATTGTTGCTTATAAATATGATAAAATCATTAGAATGAGGTTTCACATTTTTTTTTTTTCTGAGATGTATATATTTTGGTTAACATGATAGGTAGATTTGTCAGTATGTGAAAATAGAATACTGGGCGCTGTTTTACTGGCTTGTTTTTTTTCTGTTCTGAGTGTAAGCTAAGGCCTGTATCTTGAGTGTATTCAGCTTTTGAGGATTTCAGTGCTGAAGAGAGGACCTGTAGGCTTTGGCTTGTCTAATTCTACTTAGAACAAGTATCATGAGTAAAATAAAGACCTGTGTAAAATAAATCAATGGGCTTAAATGTGATGTGTAAATCTGTGTCCAGAGCTTGGAATGAAGTTTAAGGGGAAGGATTGTTGTTGCTAAACAGAATAACGAGACAGTAAATATTTTTGAGACTGAAATTAATTTTATTAGACAGTAGATACTGGAGTCCTGCAGAACTTGAAGATACTTGGAGAATATATTTTTCCAGTAGAGACTTGTGAGCTGATTTTTTTTTTTCAATTCTCACAGGTAACAATTCAGTGTAGTTCATGTTCTATGGGGGTGGGGATGAAGTGGAGTTGTGCAAAAGCACACACTTTTTCGCAAGCTCAGCTTGGAGGAACTTCAAAGGACAAAATAAAAAACCCCAGATGTTGTTAGAAATAATTCTTTGGCAATATGCTCTTCTCAGCGTTTAAGCTGCCACAGTGTGCCCTTGAGGTGATACTACCTTTACATATTGATCTTCTGGTGAAAGTGGTTTTTGTTTGTTCGATTATTCAATACTGCACTTCTTGTGAGAAGTTCATTATTGCAAGTTTTTCAAAAGAAATATTTTGTAATCTGCCCATGTGAACCAAAGTTTTTGTATTGCTACTTCTGTTCAGCCTTACAGTACATTTGGTTTTCCTCTTTCAGGAAATGGGTTTGTGAATTCTCGAGCTTCACCAAGTCTACTTGGAACTACTGGTGGTGGGAATGGCTTAGGCAAAGTCATGCCTACAAAGTCTCCACCTCCACCTGGAGGAGGTAATCTTGGAATGAACAATCGCAAACCTGACCTCCGTGTTGTCATCCCACCCTCCAGCAAGGGTATGATGCCACCACTGGTAAGTTAAAACATTTGTTCTGTGGCTGGCTTTGTAAAAATTGAGTGTTCTGGCAACATACCCAGGGAGAAACTATCTCCTCAGTAATAGAAGGGTGTTTGAAATTTCACTAATGAAAGTTTAAGTTATAAGTTGTTACTCTGGGAGAAGTTAAATTTGTAAGGATTTTTTTTTTTTTTTTTTAAAAGTGTAAAATAGCAGTCTGACCTAAATCCAGGTAAAGTGCAATCCTGGAGACAGATTGGGATTTTGTTGTTTTGATTTGACATCTCACTGACTTGGTACGGAAATCTTTGTTTCTTTGAAGGATGTGGGTTTTAAAAAGGGTTATGCATTATTCTGTGGAGGAATGGCTGATCTTACTGGTGATGTGAACTGTGTTAACATGCCCTAAAGCACGCTCTGTACCTATTTTTCCTGGGTCGTAATGGTTGTGGGATGTAAAACGTAGCTTCAGTGGTAATGATGGTCTGAGAGAAACCCTTGTTTAATGTGGTGTGCTGGAATGCAACCTTGTGTGTCCTATGGTGGATGTCATGTCTTCAGTGAAGACATAAAAGAGTAATAAGGATCAGGCTCAGTCCCTATTTGTGTACTTTTCAATACTACTGTGCAGTAATGTTTGTTCAGCCTAGATTTGGAATAGCATACAAGTTTCGTGTCAGGCATGAGGCAACCACAGCATTAGGACCAGAACAGGTCTTTCAGGAAGAGTTACTCTGGTTTTCCTTTAATTTGGTTGGCCAGATCCTTTGGTCTTAGTCTTTCAATGTTATGTAGAAATTTTAAACATCTATACATACATTTTCTGTTTTCTGTATATGAAAGAATGAACCATAACCAAGAGGAGCAGGATATAAACAATGCAAGTACTCTGTGTATAATTCTTTAAAGGTGCCACAAGCACTTGTATTTGTTGCTGGTATTCATGATGAATAATAAAAAATTAGTCCAAGTAACAAAAGCTATAATCATCCTCAGAGTAATGATTCTTGAAGTTTTGGGTTTTTCTAGGGGTACTGAAGTGTAGAAGACACAGGAAATAACTGGCTGATTATTAAAGTGAAAATCATGCTTTTGAATTAATTAGAAAGAAATACAAGAGGAGGATCTTGTTAGTGCAGTTGTTCTAGTGTTAGCAGTGAACAGTACCTATTTACTGTTGTGTGGTTAAGAACAACATAATATTCAATTTAGGTTTTGTCTGTCTTTTTGAGGAAATTGGAAAGAGACTTCAGAGTAGAGATGCTGGGATGATATGATGATTGTATGTAAAAAATATTTTGTTACTGAGCTGAATGTTTACTGGATCAGTCCAGACAGAAACTGTTGTGCTCTGTATCTAAACGTTGTCAATATGTAGCAGTGTCCTTGTTTTTACTAAGCTCTTTCTGTACTAATTTTGCCAAAGCATGTGTTCTTTCAGTATGGTATTTTTAATTGATCTGAATTGCATAAAGTATTATACTTTCTAGTAGTATAGTATTTAGTATTTACAGTATCAGGTGGCAAATTCACATTATTAATTAAAATGAATATAAATCCTGAAGCGCAAACGCGACTTTTTCTTTAATTTTTGAAAGCAATGATATTTTTAGTAACTGTGTTATCCCTCTTGTTTGCTGAGTACAGTCGGAGGAGGATGAATTGGAGTTGGTGAGTTTGGGCTACTGTTTGATGAGAGAGAGCAAGATGCTGAAAATGTCTTTTACTACAGCTTTTTAACTGTAGTTTCATTACATATTTTAAATAATTCCAGTGTTCCCTTGGTAGCAGACAAATATACATTTATCATATCAAACTCAAAACCCAACCAATTCAAGTTTAAAATGCATCCAAAGTCTAGCACTTTCCATTTGTAAAGTCTATTTTTTTTTTCTTGAAAATATTTCTGTTTTTCTTGGAGGGAACATTGGAAAAGAGCCTTACAAAGTAACTGTCCATGTGTATAGGATATTTACTGTCTTTTATGCAAAATATAAATAACCACTTATCATCCCGTAAATTGCTGGAATATTTTTAGAAAGTGGCTTCACTCATGAAGTTCTTCAGATTGTAACACAAGCCCTGTATTACTTCTTTTATTTTCAAGGAGATTACATCATTGCTGGTGAGGTCACCTTTTTGGACTTTAGAATTATTTCATCCTGCGTGAGATTATCAAACCACAGGGGTGTTCCCTGTTTACCAAAGGAATAGAGAATTGCAGATGAATAATTCTACCTTTTTCCAGTGAAAAGATATTCTGCTTTTGAAAGGGAACTCTTGGGATTTGTATTTTTTCTATTTTTTTCCAAAAGGTTTTAACATTTGGCATTCTGTCTGGAGAATAATGTAAGGCTAAAATAATTTGTAACTTATTTTTAGAGCAATTTGCAAATTGTTTAGCTGCTGTAGCACAAACCATGCAGAAGATGCTGCATCTGTGTGCAATTGTAAAGATGCACAGTCTGGCTATTGCATACTTTGATTTATTTTTGAACATGGACCTGTTGCTAATATGAGGCTCTAATTGCATGAAAGCATGGAAAATGTAGTGATTTAGATAAGTTTCTTGATGAATGCATGCTATTGGTTGATTTTTATATTAAACATGAGCAATAGATTTACAAAAGTAAGGGGAAATTATTTTTTTGAAAAATCAGTATTGAAGTTTTTAAGGTTTATATTGGTATGACTTGCTAGTTGAGCAGCTAAACAGCTGTCATGCCTGTTCTCACCTTTATAGAGAAGTGTCTGGTTTCCAGTGCGAGAAATAAAGCTCTAATTCAACTTAAAAACGCTTAATCAAAATATCGGTGCAATTGGAATTAATGCAAAAGCCCTTGAATTAAGGTATTCCTACCTATTAAAAATCGCTGTGCTCTTTGCAGTGTGAAATAGTGCAGTTTGGGGTACGGATACTGTATGGAGCGTGGGCCCTCTAGTGGTTTTAAAAACTGGGCTCAGCTGGTGGGGGAAGAAAGCTCACACAAAGAAAATGTAGCAGTCTTCCCCAGAGCTGCTAAAGAAATACGAGGTACACCTGCAATGGTACGTCTCATTATGCTAATTTCTGATGCCAGTTCCAATGCTAGGAAGCAGTTCTGAGTCATCTCTCTGAACATTCATTCTGTATGCTTGGAACTCAGCACTGAATATGAACACCAGATACAAACAGTAGCATAGCATGAAATAAAGATGTTGAATTCTTCCTGTTACTGGTATTATTTGCACCAGTTTAAAAAATAATTTTAAAATTCCTCAAACTTGTCATGAATCTTTGGCTGAATCTCCAAGTACAACAAATAGTAGCCACATCTAAATATTTCGTGGTGTCTTGGTATCTTTATGGCTGAGTGTTCAGGAATTATAAAAAAAAAAAAAAAAAAAAAAAAAAAAAAAAAAAAAATCCCATGGGGAAATCCTTTGGTCTGGATTGTTTCCCAGTATACTCCTCTTAACTTTTCCATTATACAGTAATCCCAACTTTATAGGCTGCCATCCAAAAAAGCTTTGGAAAAAGGTCAATTCCTGACAAACACAAAAATCTGCTCTAATAACATATCTTTATGCCAGATAAACTTGGTCTAGCAGAGATTTTCAGAAGTACGTAAGTGATTTAAAGGGATAAATTACACAGAAAATCCATGTGACTTTCTCTGTGACTTAAAGCTTTGAAATCTGGGAGCTCTGCAGCAGAGTGGGTACATCTGCTGAAGAAATGCCAACATGCCTCCAAATTCTTAGGAGGCTCAAAGGTGGGCTTTCAACAGCAGCTGGGCAGAAGAGGGATCGGAAGCTGGTACCTGGTGGAAGGTGGTACCTAACTTGAATGTGGTAGCTGTGGCATACTTCCTTAAACTGGAAAGATACAAACCAAGGATTGATAACCCTCAATTCATCTTCACAAGTTTAAGCTTAAAATTGAATACAGCCCTGTCCCTGCTCATTCCAATATTATAAAAGGAATCATGAATTTTTAATACTCCTCTCTCAAGGTCAGAGTGGAGAAAAAAAATGAAAGTGCTGCAGATACTGAAATACTTGTATACCTGTCCAAACTAAGAAAAAATTAGTAGTTGCTTCAGTCTTTTAAAGCTAGGAAGTAGAACTCTACCAAAGATGAAAAACTGTTACTTTTGGAGTATGTATTTTTTTTCAGAGATAGAGACTTGCTTCAGAAACATATTTTCAGCAGTTTGAAATCCAGCTCCCTTAACTGGGAGTGGTTCTGTAAGAATGTAGAAATATAGGGTGTAGAGCCTTCTAGTGTTTCTAAGACTTCCATAGGTAAAACTAAGTATCTGTTGTTTAAAAATAAAAAAATGTAGCATTTCCTGTTCTTGACAGTATCTGGCATGGCTAAATGGTGTTGAACTATGTATTTTGAAGGAAGATTTAAAGTTGCCTTCATGAGGAGTAGTATGTTCTGTGACAGAGCAGCTTTACTGTCTGGTGGTATTCACCACAGTGTTTAATGCAAGGTTTTCTAAACAGTAAAATTGGTTAAAGAGCTTAATTTGATATGTTTGCTTCAGATGTTCGTTGTGGTGGATGGGGAAGGCTGTTATTAAAAAGCCACATCGTGCCTACAGTTAGATAATCTGAGACAATCTAGTTTAGCTATTTTTCCTGTCAAAAAGCACAGTTGCTCTCTGAACTCAAATGTCATTTGCTTTGAAACGTATCTGCATTATAACAAGTACTCTCTCAGTTTCTCAGGAACCATGGGAACAGCAAGATTATTTTATCACTGAAGTCTTATCAACACAAATTTAGAACATCTCTGTGTTCCTTTCAGGACAGGTGTAGTCAGCACAGTGTCAAAACTGGCAGCTAAAGTTTTGAAAATTGGATATACAACTGGGAAGTGGGAGACTCTTCTGGTGGAACTGCACCTCACCATCTGCACTAAAACCCCTTTAAAAAAATAAGACTAAAACCTCTTAAATCACTTAAGAACTTCTGAGAATTGTTGTATATGCTCCTAAGAAATTGCATTTCTCTTTATGTCCTTCAACTCTAACACTATTGAAATCTGCATGCATGAGAAGCGGATCAGTGAGTCTTAATTAATTTTTCATTTCAGTTTGCCAAGATAATTTTGGTTGTCTTGAAATATTTTGGCTTGTTTAGAAAATCCGTCATGACAAAAAGGATGTATTTGTAACTAAAAAATAAATCAAAGAAACACATCTTAATTGAGTGCTATTTTTATATTAGTGCTTGATTTTCCATTGTTCTAACTGATATCACAAGACATTGTTATTTTTAATCATTTATAGAATACCCAAAGGATAAGTAGTTCTCAGTCTACACAGCCTCTTGCTACCCCTGTGGTGTCTGTGACAACTCCAAGCTTGCCTCCGCAGGGATTGGTGTATTCGGCCATGCCTACTGCCTACAACACTGGTAAGCATTGTTTTTAATAAGTGGCTTGATTTGTCAGATGTACAAGGCTTTCGTGATTCATAAGCCCAGAAAAATCTGCATTTCTGTGACATTTCACTTAATTTTCCTATTCGGTTCAAATGAAGGCTTTTATTCATCAAAAATGAGCCTTTAGCTTGTAAAATGTGTAAATGTTGAGACTTATATCAGGAAGAAACTTTCAGTCAGTCAGGTTGCACAGAGCTGAATGCAGAGAGCGAGACAATAAAGTGCATTGCTTACAGCAGTAGTATTGCAGCTATCCATCGGAGAGCCGAAATGCCTCACATTTGAGTGATAGTTGGTACTGCAGAGCATACTGTCCCGTTCATTCTGCTCTGCTTGGTTCCAACAGCAGGAGGGAATTGGATTCTACTGGGGCTTTCAATTTACGAAAAAGCCCAGATGTACAAAGCTCAGACAGGGCCTTCTCTTCAGTAGTTCTATCAAGAGTGAGGTGGGGACTCGTGGGAAGGTGCTGTCAGCGTTTCACCACTGCAAGTCTCTTGTTACCCAAAGGACCTTAAAACTGCTTTTTATCCAAGATGGGTGTGATGTAAGGAATTCAATAATACAAGTGATAATTGGTTTGCCTGTTTAGAAAGTAGTTCATGATGTGGTGCCTCCATACCAGTAGAGATAATTCTGTCTTCAATCTCAAGGTTCTTTATTTGTTACAGACCTTGTATGTAATCAGTGAAGGAATCTTTGTAATCACTTCCCTGAAAGGCTGCAGCCTTGATGGGGTCAGGTTGATTACCATTGATCCGTGATGCATTGTTTAATTTTCAAATGCACCTGCAGAGAAACTACATTGCAGATAAGTGTCAATAAAGCGCAGATAAGTGTCAATAAAGTTTGTAAGTTAAAATAAATTTTGGTCAAAACTAAAAAAGCAAACAATGGAAATAATTCCCCAGTTAGTTGTTCTGTTTAGATGAAGTCTAGTTAAGACATTCAAATGTAAGTGCTGTGATTTGTTAAAACAGGAATTTCTGAACTGGGGATGCCTGTGTTAACAATGTTTGTCTTATTTGGTAGGCTTTTGAAATCTAAAAATCTAAAAATCTTGCTTCTCTCTTCTGCAGTGATAGCTCTTAGGAACAGAGCTACAATAGAGAGCTTCCATTTAGAGCTGATCAACTCTGTCTAAACAAAAGGGCCTGAGAATATGATTCTCTTTCTATGAATCTGGGAAGATCCACACCTCCAGTAGAGGAGATTCCTCAGTAACATCTTTTCCATCGACCTGTGTCATCTGTGACGGCTACACACGAGTAGCTGGCAGGCATGAGGCACTTGGGAACCTGGGAAGCAGCGGAGTGTGTACTAGGAAGGAATAAATCACCTTCCCTTAAGGAGCCACTGTGTTGGGTTTACGTGGCAAGGTTTTGGTAGTGGTGGGGTGAAGGGGGCCAGGGACACACAGGTGCTGCAGGGGTGGGGTGGCTTCTCTAAGAATAGATCAGGAGCTGCCCAAAGCTGAGCCCATCAGCAATGCTGGCGGTGCCTCATGATAATGTATTTAAGAAAGGGTAAAAAATGCTCTGCTGATCTATTGTCAGTGACCTAATGTTCTTACTCTTGTGTAAAGGTCAGGACAAATCCAAAAATCCTTCAAGGTTTGTAGAAAATGGCCAAAACCTGACTGATAGAGAGGTTTTGTAATCTTCCTTTTCTGCAAGGAGGAGCGCTGTCAGGAGGCTGTGGTGTTGGAAGATGGAATGGGTAGAGCAGCCATCCATTCATAATCATTTCCCTGCCCCCAAAAAGATGGGATTTCATACATTTTCTCCACTTTTTTTAGCCTTGGAAGTCTTCGCTACTGTTTTTACTTTAGACTTACAGCCAAACAACTTGCATCTTCTTGTATCTTTTTGCATTAATGTGCTTGTTCACTGACATTTCCTACCCTTCAGCCACTTTCTGCACTGGGTTGCCTCAGAGGTGATGCCCCCGGGCAGTTATGGGCATGCAGGAGCTTTGCATTTTGAGAGGGACTGTTTAGTCACCAGCAACAGTAAATATTTATACTGAGGTAGCACCCAACTAAATTGTTGAACATTTATGCAAATAATTGCCACCCCAAGGGGATTAAAGTCTAAAGAAATGAATGAAGGAGAGGATGGGGTTACAACAGTAGTATAAGGATCAGAAAATTATGCTTGGTAACTTGTTTTGGATTATAAATTTAAGTATGAGTTTGCTGGATGTACAGATCTTGGATTGATATTTTCCAGAAAAATTGTTTATATTATTGCATTTATTGGCTGTTTAAAGTAAACAGTCTGGTCCCTGCTCAGGTGACCCACACTGAGTTTTATCTGTTGCCTAACAAATCCCTTCATTCTCTCACACTGTCTGATGTTGTTTCAGGGAGCAGTGTTGTGTGTGTTCCTCATCCAGAATAACCTGTAAGATAATGGCTAAAACATCGAAAAGATGCGATGGGTTGTAGTCTGAATCTTAGGAAGCAGCAAAGACAGTTGAAACTGGTGTCTTACATAATGGACAAGTGCTGTTTTCACTGGGATATAATTTTAAAAAACAGCCCATTTCCTTTGATAATGCAGTAATTTGTGAAAAGCTTTTAGACTTTAGTGTTTTTCAGACACTTTAAAATTGTTTCTATTAGATTAAGCCTTTCAGGGGATTTGCAAAAAGAAATCTGATGTTGAAGACAAATTGTCATCTGGGTATTCTCAGGGTAGTCCACACTTACACAGGAATTTCAGTTTTGCAGTTCAAGGACTAAAATAAAATATAGATACCTAAATGTTTTTTCTGGATCGATAGGGCTTTTTTCAAGTCTGGAAGGGATAGATTCAGCTCTCGGATCCTTAATTAAAATGTCGGCTATCAGTTTTGCACAATTATTTTATATGATTCGTTTTGCTGGAGAAGTGTTATTTCTGCAGATTAGTGGAGGAAGGGCCAGAACAAACCGAGTTACTCGTTCTAAAACAGTCTAGGCATTTTTAAAAAATACTCGAAAACACAGAGATCAGTTAAATAGTAACTTAGACTTGAGCAGAGTGTATGTGGCCATAAATTATATCACTGCTTTAGGTCAGTTATTTAGCAAAGGCACAAACTTCTAAGGTATCTTGTTGTTAGGGTCCCAGCAGTAATGGTTTCCAGCATGTAGAAGGCACTGTCTTATCTGTATGGCTTTTCCCTCTTGCAGCAAGTCACTCATTGGTGAAATCAGTGTCCTGCTTCTGCTGTGAGCAGATACATGATTATTTAGGGGTGTGATAATGCAGCTACTTGTGTGGTGGTGTATGTATTCTTTGGAAAAGTATCTCTCAAACCCCTGTCATCAGACACGTTCTGTCAAAGGTACCAGAAGTTAATTCTCCATTATCATAAAAACTATTTTTGCAAAGAAAAAAATAACATGGAAACTGAGCTCCTATAAACATTTTCTTCAGGTCTGCTCTGACAGAAATCCCATTGGCATGGAATAGCACATCCATCTCAAGTGTTTACATTTCCTATGCTTGCAGGTTGTCATAGGTCTGGCTGCTTTGAAGGTTGAGGGCATGTCGTAGTCATTGGAGGGCTGTGTGTGTATATCTATCAATCTTTTTTTTTTTTTAAGTTTTGTCTTGCAAAAGGGCTTTGGATCTATCAGCTTGGGAAAAATTTCTCTGAATCTGTGCAGAAATTCTTGTGAAGGGTTTTTTTGAGTTTCAAGAAAAATGTTAACTGAGAAGAAATGAAACAAAAAGGCAGCTTATCACATGCTGGGGTGCAGCTGAGATTCCCATTGTCTTCATGAAGATTCTTGCAGTGCTGCATGTGCATCTCTGGAAAGCACAACACCCCCGTGGGGCTGGGCTCACCTCCCTGCATAGGCTGTCACGAGGGAGACCCAGAAGTTGTCCACAGCAAACCAGTTGGTGGGTGGGAATAGGGAAATTGTACAGGAAAGCTTATCTCAGGAGGGATAAATCATAATGGTGTTGTCATATTAAAAGAAACAAACCCAACATCTCCCCCTGCCCCCCCCCAACAAAACAACCCAAAACCAACACCAAACCTAAACGCAAACCCTACTTGAGGAGAATTTTTGGTCCATCTGCTGGCAGTGTAAAATAAGTCTGACTGCTAGCATTTTGCTGCATTCTCAAGAGACTAGAAATTATTTTAAGGAAGTTATATTACAAAATAATTACAAGCAGAGAAGTGTTTGTGGCTTTGTTTTAAAACCTGAAAGAAGAGCATGAGTGATAATGATAAAGTGAAAATAACTTCACCTCTGTGAATGAAGTGAGAACTGTCTGAGCCTTACAGCCTGGCCAGAACTAACAGCCAGTCACTGACTGCTGATTAGGAATAGATTGCATTTTCCATTATCCATTTAAGTTGTATTTCTGAACAATTATATTTTTTTTTATGCTAAGTAAAGAAGTTTCTTTTGTTTATTTAATACAGAGATGACAGGTTAATTAGGCATAAAGTAACGAGTGAATTTGTTGCGGGGAGAGGGAGAATGTGATGCATCGGGGTCGGCCGCACAAGCGGAGTGGGCGGAGGGTCCCTGAGGCTGCAGTGACTTTGGTCCTGTCCCCCTTGGGCACCAGGCCCTGCCGCTGGTGTCCAGCGCTGCTCCCCTGGCAGGATCTGGGTAAAGGTTGGAGGGCTCTGACCTGTGCTGTAGGACCAGCAGGCAAATGAGATCAGTGTCTCATCTGATCAGCTGCTGCCTCCTGTCTGGGAATGGAACTGCAATCGGGATGTCTCCAGTGCAAGAAACACCATTCCTTTCTAATGACTTGTATGAATTCTTCCCTTTTAGTTTCATTTTGAAGTTTTCATGTAGACAGAAATCTTAAAAAATGCAAATACTTGTCTTACTGTAAGGTGCACATATATATGCACAAAAAGGCATGAAGATGTACCTGTGGGTTTAGAAGAAGCTATGAGACAGCAAGATGTTGGAATTGAAAGCGGAATGCAAAAAAAACACTTGTAATTTGGAGGCTTATGTCCTGTTAAACTCCTTGTGAAGTTAGGAGGCTCCCAGCCGTCAGTTTGCGCGTTTGGACTCCTTTGGGTCACTCGCCTTTATTGGTTTTGGGCAGAAAGCCTTTATATTTGTGTGTGTGTGCACATATCGCATATATTCTCATGTGTATATATAAAAAATAAATCTATGAACTACTTTCTTGTTTGTTTTTCCCTCTCAGATTACTCCTTGACTAGTGCAGACCTGTCTGCCTTGCAGGGATTCAACTCCCCAGGAATGCTGTCCTTGGGGCAGGTATCTGCCTGGCAGCAGCACCATCTCGGCCCAGCAGCCCTCAGCTCTCTCGTGTAAGTACCCCGATAACGTCCCGGTACCGCACCCCCTCGGGAGCTTCTGCTGCTCCAAGCTGAATAATCCACACCAGGGAATATTTAGCACGAGGCTGTTTTCATGTCATGTCTGCTGGGGGTGGTGTGTTGTCTTTCAAGTTGGCTCCTTGGCTGCAGAAGCGTTTGTGTTTGCTGCTGTTTGTCCCCTCGGTCAGTTCAGCCTCCTGGTGAGGAGCTGTGTCCCTGCAGGCCCAGCTTCTTACAGAGGAGTCACCTGGGTGGTGAACTCAAATATTGGAAATAGGAGGTATTTCTGTTTGGTTTTCACTTCTATAAATGCATTCAGACCTTTAATTAATGCTATTTCAACCTTACTTCTTCAGTAAGTTGCATTTATTGACATACTTGTTGTGAGGGTGTTGAACCACAAGACCACACCATTACACACACACACACACACACACACACACACACACACACACATATTGTTACTTTGTTTTCCTTTTTCATGTCGTCTTATTTCTGCCTTTTGGTTTTCTTTTTCCCAGTACTGGCAGCCAGCTATCTCAGGGTTCAAATTTATCCATTAATACCAACCAAAACATCAACATAAAATCTGAACCAATCTCACCTCCCCGGGACCGTGTGACTCCCTCTGGGTTCCCGCAACAGCCGCAGCAGGCGCAGGCGCAGCCGCCGCAGGCGCAGGCGCCGCCGTCGCGGCAGGAGCTGGGCCGCTCTCCTGTCGACAGCCTCAGCAGCTCCAGCAGCTCCTACGACGGCAGCGACCGCGAGGACCCGAGGAGCGATTTCCACTCGCCTGTCGTGCTGGGAAGGCCCCCGAATTCAGAAGATAGGGAGAGTCCATCGGTAAAACGAATGAGGATGGACACATGGGTGACATAAACTTGCGGTGTTGCCTCTCCAGTTTTGTGTTCTCAAAATGAACTGTCCTGACATATCTAAATTTATAAATAAGGACGTGGAATAAGTATATTTATATGTATATACATACATGCATATATATATCTTCACATGCATATATATGTGCTAGTGTGTGTAGCATACACAAAATCATCAGGCACTTACGACAAACTTCTTGTATAGCTGCAGATGTCCCATGGTAAAACGTAACAGAACAATCCTATAGGTATTGATCTAGTCTGGCACTTACCTGGACTTGTTGTTTTAATAATATAACCTGTTTTGCAAAGAAACATTGTACCCGCATTATAATCCTACCACACTAGATTGCAGAAACCAAGAGGGCTCGCCTGTAGTAATGTCCCTGTGTGTTTTATTCAAGCTGTATGGTTACTTGTAGTTAAGAAATAATGCTTTGTAGCAGCAGAGCAGTAGAAAAGCAGGAAGAAGAAAGCAATACTGTACATAAAATGACCTTTATATTACCCAACCTGGCATGGGTCTCTATTGCAGAGGGTGCATGGAGAAGGGCTGATGCTATAAGAAATAAAAATAAAAAAAAACAAAAACAAAAACCCTGTTTTGCACGTGCAAAAAAAAAAAATAGTGTATTGGGTCAAAGAAGTGATTTTTTTAATGAGTGAAAGAGACATAGAGAACTCGCATGAAATATTCAGAAAATATTAGCCTAGAAAATAGAACATTAACAAAATAAAATTAATATATTAAGTTATAATTGGAATATGTTTGACAAATTTGTTTTTACGTTCATACCTTTGAAAAATATAGAAACGGATTTTAGCTCATGTATATTTTATATTAAAGAAAACAATACCCTAATGAATTGAAGACTATATATAAAGTTATATACAGTACTTTTGAACACATTCTGCTATGAATTATTTATATAAGCCAAAGCTGTATGTTGTAGCTTTTTTGTAGAGTATAGTTTTATCTTATTTTGACTTTCTAGTTTTTGCTTTCAAAGATGAAAAGGAAAAACTTGCAGGCGGAACCTTGGGGGAAAAATAAGCCATGAACACTTATATGTAAATTTAAATTTGAGCCAAACTCTTTGTGTATATAGCATCCTAAATATATTATCACCTTTGGTGTAAGTACCTATGTATTGTACGTTCACCAGATTAAAAAGTATATTTTTGTGGATTGACGCCAACTTGAAAAAAGGCGAGGTCCTTATTAAGTAGAGTATTCACTGTTTAATATTTACTATTTTGTTAAATATACTGTACTTTCTTTGGATTTTAATTATTATTAATATTATTATCCAGATTTTTCAGAGGGTGTATAAAGGGGTTGTCCCCCTCACTGGTGGTGAATGTGTGCCGTTAAATTGTAATCTCTGTGCTGTATGGTTAAGCTTCATTATACATTTTATATATATGTATATAAATAGCAAAGTGGCAAAAAAAAAAATCCGGTGTTAAGTTCATCCTGCATAAATATAAAAAATCTGTTACAACACATTTTAAGGCATCATTTTAAAGCTGCCTCTTCTAAGGAGGAAAAAAAAAGTGGAAAAACTTGACCTAATTTCTCATGATAGGGAAATAACACATATCAGATGAGCACAAAAGGTTTTTTAAGTTGGTAAGTGGTTTGGGATAAATGAGTGAATTTGCTGTTCCTCTTTGCTGTTCCCTGAAAGCCAGAGGGCCGTGGTGTCTCCAGCCCCGGCGGGAGAGGGTTTTGTTCTGTCCTTGGAGGCGGCAGCGTGGTCTCGGTGCTGTAACAGTGCTCGCCCGGCAGCCCCTTGCCCCGGGGAGATTCTCGCCCGCCTCAGACCTGTTCCGCTGTGCGGGTAAAGCCAGATTTGAGCAGCAGAAAGTCTCGGGAGCCCAAAGCAGGGTATCCCGGCTTAGAGCAGCCCGGCTGGGTGCAGCTGGTTTCACCCTGAAGAAGATGGGTCTGTTCCCCGCCCGGCTGCGAGCTCTGTCCCTGCACCCCCAGGGGGCCAGAGCCAGAAACCAGACCCAGCAGCACCCGCCACCAGGTCTGATGGTACCTCTAGTGCTGGGGATGTAACCACAGCGCCCTTTTGTTATCCAAAGGCCTTTAAAGTCACCTCTGGTATCTGTTACATTTTTGCTTGGGTGTTCAATTAATTTTTTTTTTTCTGTAATATAAAATAAAAATCACTTGCTCGATCCTGTAACTAAGCAGCATGAGAAACGGAAATCCAGTGGGGACGGCATCTCCTCAGCTTTAGTGTGTGATTGAAGAACAAAGTCAGTGCATCCAGCTTCCAAAACCCCTCTCTCGTTGTCATGGCAACTTTTAAAAAACATACAGGTTTCAATTCGTTTCAGCCACTTACCTGTGGAGATTGCTCTCCATTTATTGTAGGTAATTACCGGTTCATGGAAAACAAGACTCGTTCTAAGGGCAAGTCTCTTTCCAAAGTAACTGAATTCACTTACCACTTCAGGGAACCTTTTAATGCTCTGAAAAGTTATGTGATTTTTTTCATTATTTATGCACATATATGAACTTTGCTGTACATCTGAGTGGGAGTTCTGCATTCACATTTACTGTCTATTTTCTTGTGTGCCTTATAAGATGGCTTTGCTGACTGTATCTCAATAGTCTTTATTTCTATGCAGGTTTTTAAACAGTACTATTACTGTTTTCTTAAAGAAAAAAGTTACGTAAGGGTTAGAGTTTGTATTGAAATTGCACCAATGAATTAAAAAAAAAAATAAATCTGTTCTTCAGAACTGCTTTGGGGCCTGTTCCCATGTTGCCCCTGCCCTGGCCCAGGCTCAGCAGAACAAGTCCTTCCCCAGACCTCCCCTGGCAGGGGAGAACTTCGGGCTCCTTGCAAAAACGGGAATCCTGGTTTTTAATAACAAGTAACTAACTTTGGAACATACTTTTTTAGGAATTGTAAAAATGTTTTATAAAAAAAAAAAAAGATGACATAGCACAGATCTTTCAACAGGTAAAAAAAAAATACTTTTTTTAATTAACTCGACTGAATGAAGTTGCAAGTGGATCCAAGCCTGGTCCGAACCCATTCGAGTCTGAATGATTCAAGATTTGTATCTCGATTGTGACAAATCACCTCTCCATCTTCGAGCTCTCACTATAGGGTTTAAAAATACATGTTATCAGGGATTCGTCAGAGAAAAATGCTTTAGCCTTTCACTTAAAGGACACTAATGCATCAGAAACTTGCGAATTACTGTGCGCACAAGAAATACATAGTAAATAAGGAACAAAATAACTCCTAACAATTGATCATGGGAAGAAGTTAAATTAGAATGTGAAAGAAAGACTTAACAAATGTAAACGTTTAAATCTTAGTAGAAACTTTCTTCACTTTGCTGTGCAAGAGAACACTGCTTTGCTATATTTAAAATGGCTTTTTTAAAAGAGATTTATGTATTTGGTAAATGTTTGTAGTCAACAGTTCACAAAGAAGCTGTTCACGGTTTAATGATGATAAGCCGTTTGGCGGCACAAGCTGGACTTTGTTGCCATCCTTGAGACGAATCTTTTAAGAAAAAAATAAGTTAATCTCAATTTTTTTCCCTGAATGTGTTGTTTTTTCTTCAATATACAATAAATATTCTAGTGAACTTTTTATCAAATGGTTAAGAAAATGCTAGAGGTTGTTGTAAAATATTTGTATCCTGCATTCACTAAAGTAAAGATACTGGCTTTTACTGTGTACTCCGGCCTCTCTCGTATTTGCAGAGCACGTGTTCCTGGGCAGCAGGGCTTTGCCCCCCCGGCGTCCGAAATACTCTTCAGATTCAGTTTTTGAATTCTTGGTTTTAAATTGCAGCGATGATTCTTTTCATCCGGAGGGGTTCTCTGGCATACGTACACTTGTTATCTCAAACGAAGGACCGATGCTCTCGAAGCACCGATTACAGAATACTGAACCGAAATTTGGGGACGAACCTGGGTCAATCCCGCCGGGTGGGGAAATGGCACCGCTGCGGGGCCAAGGGCCGGCTCGGCTCCGCGCCAGCAGCGGCTCAGGCCGCAAAAAACCCCACCACCACACTACACAAAAAAACCAAAACACAAGCTGTGTGGGGTGGGTGGTGCCCCTTGTGCCTTTATTTCATTTTTCTTTATTTAAAAACGTAATAATTTCCCCCCCCCAACAAAGGGATACATTTCCTTCACAGAAGAAAAATACAAGGGGTGTTCCAGTATGATTGTTCAGAGTCCTTGTTTACAAAAGTAGAGTCCCCTCAGGCTTTCCTGAGCGTTTTGTTTC